ATTTGGGACAGATTTGAATGCTGTAATGATCTTTTTATTCATCATACACAGTGCCATCTATAAATTTAAATGGGGCCTAAAAACAATCTAATATTGGAACTAAGCTTTTCCATGACTGGTCTGTGATTAATGGCTAAAATATTAGCACTATCTAATCAACCAATCAGAGGCAAAAAAAGCAATTTGGTTTCTTGTATTTTGCAGTGGCCTAAGTTGGTTTCTGTCTTTTTTATCTCTGTTTTTTTTCCCCTTCTTTTTTCATATTTTAATCACAACATCACACATTATTATATACTAAAAATACATCAGCAACCTCACTTTTACAATAAATTACTCATGATCAATAAATTCCATTATAATCCAACAAATTTATTTGCTAGTAGGCAACCAGCCTAAACCCAGTACATGACAGAAAACTGGGGGATATCCAACACTGTACCTGAAGTGATATTCCCTAATTTTCCAACCTTATGTCCAATATGGAAAACTCTGTGTTTAAAACTCCCAAGATCTCATTAGTAATTCTCTATAATCTCTCCCATACAGTTCTTGTGATGTTAGTTTGGAGAGTTTGTTTTTGGATCAACTAATAATCCCCTAATTTATATTCTTCTTAACTCTCACCACTTGTCTGCTGGATAATGTATTAACATTCTTAGGAGAAATTCTTTCTTGGTCACTTATGGAGTTAAAAGGTTAATTAAAGGTGAAAAGCATTAATTGTGTGGTTGTTATAGAAGAAGGAAAATGTATTTTTTGTTCATAAAATCATTTCAGAGGACACTGAAAAGTAAACCTCCCACACCATCAACAGTCAGCTGTTCATAAACAATTTTCCCGCATGTTGAAAAATATTGAGGGATAATAAACATAACAGCCTCCATTTGGTATAAATAGAGGGTAGCTGAATATAATTCATAATATAAACCTCTCAGCTTATTAGAAAATTGATGAAGGCTTAATGAAAATGAAATGGATAGAAAAAATCTATAAATTTTAAATAAATTATGTCAAACGTGATTTTTTGCAGCAACAGTGCTTTTAATTTATTTCTTATAGTTTCCTTTTTT